GATCCACTTACGTTGATTAAAACAAAGAATAATTTATCATAGCTTTATAATTTAAATTTAATTATCTTATATTTGTTTTCAGTTTTCAACCAGGTCATATACGCAGGCGCTTAAAAATTCAAGAAATTGTCGGAAAATATCAAATAAAGATGACTAAACCAGAGCTTTATACATATTTATTAAGTAATGCTAATTCCACTTGAATAATAATTTCTACTTAGTGGCTTGTGCAATATTTCCTTTTTGTTTTTTTATTTGTCATACAAAACAATAAATATAAACCAACTCTTTGGGATTAACTTTTATCTTTTATAACCGTATGTGTATTAAATTTCAAATGTTGTGATACTTTGTTATTTGTAATTAAAATTTTTATTATTGTTTACTTTTATCAACCATTTATTATCATTTTTTTTTTTTAATGAAATTTCACTTAATTTTGTACATTTGTGTACCAAATAATCATGAATCTGATTGATTTTGGGCTAAAAAAAAGTTATTATTTACATATTTTATATAAATAAACTAATTTAATTTTTTTAAGAGTGTGCATTGACTTTAAATTATTGGTTTCTGTTAGACAGTAATTAAACGCATTTAAGCGGCCTCGCTACTGCCTTCAATTTTAGCTGAAAACACCTTCAGTATTGACTGACCAAATTAAAGTTAGTTAACGTTGTCCGATTTCGATTCTGAAAAAAAAATTTGAACTCACCAGAAAATTGTCTATAGATCATAGGAGAACTTTGTAAAAACTAAATTTTATATTATTGTGAATTGTAATTGAAAACTTAAAAATATCAACTTTTTCGAATCATCGTTAAAATTAAAATTAATATTAAAAACGGAAAATGTTGAGTACGATCTACAGACATTTTTCTGCTGAATTCAAATATATTTTTAGAATCAAAATCAGACAACGTTAACTAACTTTAATTTTGTTTAAACAGATGTATGTTTTTGTAAAATTCGTGTAGTGAATTTGATATGGTCATTGAGATATTGACATGTGCATGCGCGTACGAGTGAGGATATCCGCATGTAATTTCACTCCCACTAAAAATCATTTACAACTAACACATAGATCCCGGTCGGCAATGACAAGTTTGAAATTACCTAAATGTTGTCCCTTAAATAATGATAGTAGCGAGGCCCCTTAAAAGACTTAGGTACATTCAAGATTTAATAACTTACTATGGTCTTTTTGATACAGATTTTAAAACTAAGGTCAAGAAATTTGAAAACAATATTATGATTGATATTTTAGATTTTGAGTGGAACGATGAATGTATTGATTTTACAATGATGTGTGTTTTTTTTATTATTTTAAAATTTTTTTTTGTGTCTGTGTACACGATAAGTAGTCGATATAATGCTTTGATTTTCAACTTCAATATCTTGTTCGATTGGAAAGTGAATATCATTGGTGCATTGGGGAGGTCAAAATTTAAAATTCACAGTCATTTTCAAAAGCGCCAAGAAAAACAATAGAAAAATTAAGGAAGATCAGGAATTTTTGTGCAAAATCGATTTTCACAAAATTGAATTAGGTTTTTGGTGTAACTTTAAAACAAATGACCGTAGATACATGACATTTTTACTGATTGTTAATATTTGCATTTTCCATACACGATAACATTTTCGAAATATTTTGATTTATTTTGAACTGTAGAGACATTTTCATTTTCCATTTTTTTTAGTTTTTTTTCTAAAAATATCAATACAATTTTATTAGGCAGATGAAAAATATTAAAAAACCTTAGTCACAATTTTTTTTTATAAGCATTTTAAGTTCAAAAATTGTAAAATTATGGAAAAATCACGAAAATTAGCGAATTATTTTGAGTTAAGAATTCGTAAAAATTTTTCTTTTTAAATCTAAGATTTGAAAATGTAATACAAGATCACTCATAAGTTTGTCTTCCTTTATCAATAAAAAAATCTCTACCGGAATGTCAAATTAAATTTTATGAGCGTTTGAAATTCAAATTTTTACAACATTAGATGTTCACTCGATTTCTCATGTAGCGATTTCCTTATTTTGTTGTAATTCAAAAACGAATAACTGTAGATACATGAAAAATTCACTGAATGTTTATATTAGCATTTCCTATACACCATACAATTTTGAAAATATTTTGACTCTTTTTGAGCTGTTTATGGACATTTACAGCTTTCAATTTTTTTTAGTTTTTTTTTCTATAAATATCAATAAAGTTTTATCTGTTGGGCCAAATAGTGTAAAAATTTAATACAAGGCTCCTGATATATTGACATATTGTTACAATATCAGTTGAAAAATATTAAAAATACATAGGCACAATTTTTTTTTATAAGCATTTAAAGATCGAATTTTGACAAAATTTATCAAATTTAAAATTGAATAATTATTTTTTAGTTAAAAATGTATAAAATTTTCAACTTTTATATCTATAAGGATTGAAAATTTAAAACAAGATTCCACGTAAGTAGTTAATTCTGTTAACAAAAAATCTAAAAAATACATAAGCACTGTTTATTTTAACAGTAATTTTAAGTTCAACTTTGGACAAAATTACATAAAAAAAAACCTAGAATAACTATTTTAGTTATTTTGTTGTGATTGTATAATATTATTCGTGGGTACTTGAAACTTCTAAAGTACACTATTATAAATCTATGGACTATAGAGTATGGACTATGATAGTATCAGGGTTTGTTGTTGACGTATAACACATTATAAGTACCTAATGAATATTGTGATATGGTTGATTTGGAATTTATTATATTTACTTATTATAGGTCAATTTTTTTAATACTATAGATAAGTATATAATATGTCTTATACCTAGACTGACATACCGTCTCCGCTCTGAATCGTTTTTCTTATACAATGATATTATATCTTTGAATTCAAATTTAATACCATCCATTATAGTGATCCACTTGTAACCTACTTTACAGCAGAGCACCTTTTTTTAATTTATTGTTTTTAGATTTTACAATCTCGAAATTAGTTTATATACCCCATGGCTTATACTATTCTATTGAATTTATTAGAGGACAGATAATAAGAAAACTGAGTTTGGTGGTTTCCTGTTGCCGTCCAAGTGGTGAGTAGGCAGTTCTTTTCCACTAACTAAAATAGCCTGCTTGGGGTAATTAAATTGCCCTTGAGTTAAGTTTAAACCAGCGACGTATAGTTACCATGATTTTTAAGTTCTCTCTTCTTCCATTTGAGTCAATAAGAACTATAACTCCATAAAACAATATTATTTTGAACTGTGGATGTCTGTAACAAGGTGTTATATCAAAAACAAAGGATTAGAATAGTGTGGTTTTTTTTCATGCGTTTGGCTTGCATCACTAGACTTTTTGCTTTGAGGGCTTGTCAAAGCTCATGACATTTACAAAAATTAACCAAGAGTCTGTTAACTATTTATGAACTTAAGGATAAAAATTGTCTCGTCATAGGTGAACTTGATCCAGATATGTGTCAGAGAGTAACTAGTTTGTACTTTTGGGGGTCCAAAATAGTTTGGGAAATCAAAAAACAAATTTAACTATGAACATCATTACAGAATTCTACGCAAACCTGTTTTCGACAAAATTGATTCTGTTTTTTTTTTTTTTGTTGTAGTTCAAAAATCAATAACCTTAGACTTGAAATTTTCAGCAAATATTAATATATTATGCATTTTAGACATGACATGATAAAATGTTCTAAATTTCTTCTAGATATATTTGTAGACATTTTAAATTTACAACTTTTAGTTTTTATTCAATTATGTATGATTTTTTATGATAACTGATGAATGATAACATTATTTTTTTTGTTAAAAAAACTTAACAATTTAAAAAACAATTATCATTCCTCGGAAGTTAAAAATATCAAAATTACATCATAATATAATAATATAATATTATTCACAACATTTTTTATAAATGTTTTAAATTCATAACTAAATTATGATTTTTGTCTTAGAATCGAATATTCTCAATCCATCTTTCAGGTAGGTCATAGCTTTGTAAATCGAAGGTATTTAATAATGCATCATAATATTTTTTATTTTTTTTACCTAACGTTTGAAACTTAAATACAAGGCCTATCACAATTCACAACTCAAGTATTACTTAAACAATTAATTTAATCCCGCCAACAATGAAAAATGATAAATGCAGACCAAATTAATTTAATTATAAATAAAAACTCAAAATAATATTTTAGTGATCAGTGCTAAACATAGACACAGAACAGTCAACATAAATATATTTATATGGGACACAAACACACGAGTTGATAACATAAAATTAGATTAAACACTCAATGTTATTCAACATTATATAATAGGACACGTCAATTTGTATATGAAAGTATACAATAGTAATAAAGTGTGCTTATAGTAACATAAATTAGATAAAGTAATATAAGTGTATAAAATATCAAAAAAGAACATAGAATTAAATTATACTTTTAATTTAATATTGTGAATCTTAATTTAACTATAGGTACTATTTTTATGAAAGTAAATCTGTTAATATTGGTGATGTACTATAACGTGTTTTATAATCATATTCGGGAGAGCTAAGCGATTCATAACCAATATCTTCATACTGTTCGGTACAGTCCATGGCATCATCTTCTTGGCATATTTCAAGAATATGTTCATCATAAGTTGTAGTTACTTCTTCAACAGCTTCTTCTACGATAATAAAACGTTCCAAAGAGTTACTTTCGTCTTCAGAATGTTCTTCAATTTCAGATTTAACAACCACATTTGGCGCCATTAAGTGCATTTCTTCAGTTGGAATCTTAACACTATTCACATCTGTAACTGTTTCCTTGTCTGTGTTTAGCGTGAATAGTGGATCATCTTCTACTTTTATGTCTGCATTAACCAGATTTGGTGCCAAAACGTGCATTTCTCCAGTTGGAATCTTAACTGTATTTGCACCTCTAATTGTGTCTGTGTCTGTGCCTGTGTCTGTGTTTAGCATGAATAGTGGATCATCTTCAACTTTTAAGTCTGCATTGGGTACACCAATATTTTGACCGGGTTCCATGATTTCTGATGTGATCCCCACCATTTCATCAAGACAACATTCATTAAGGAAACTCTGCAAAACAATTTTGAAATATAAATAATGCACATTGCACTTGCAACAATAATGTGAACTAAATAATACTTACTTCGCCGAGTAGTTCATCAGCAATTTTCTCCAAACGTTTTGATACATTGTTGTCAAGCCAGTCCATATCGTCATCGTCGTCTGGAAGCTTGAGATCATGTAGGATGGAATGGTCAGTAATAGGAATAGAATCTGATAACAGAGCATCAAACAGGATGTTCGATTCAGTTTGCCCTTCTGCAGAGGGTGTCTATTGGACACGGCAGGTCCATTAATCGAAATCTTGTTATTAACTGCTGTCGTACAGAATTCTGTAACTATTGATTTTGGTATGGATGACTCGGTGGAAAGTTGTTCTCGTAACCTTTCATTTTCAGTGATCAACTGTTCTTGGTTGGCTCGTAAAATTTCTATTTCTTCTCTTAAATGAACATTCTGAAAACACAAATTTTAATTATTTGTAAAATATTAAAAAGACACCGACAGTAATAAAACTATAAGTAAAATTGATAATATTGAAAACATAATATAATGAGGTACTTAAATATGAATATGTTCCCATATATGTACCATTCTTTGTTTTTAGATCAAAAAATCAACTAGATATAAAGTATAAAATATATAGACAGTATTCATTCTCAGATAGACATAGAAAGGTAGACCATATAGTACATAGACCTAATTCATTAATATTCCATAAATTGAAATATTAACATTAATGCATTTAAATGCATTCAATGATTATGTAAAAAAAAATGTACACACCTCTTTTCTTAAACCATGAACCATTCCTGACAAAACATTGAATTGTGCTTTCTTTTTATCTCTAGATAACTGTGCTGCTTCTCTGTTTCGTAATTTTCTGTAAAAAAAAATATATTTTATTATTAATAAATAGATATGTAAATCAATAAATTAATGTATGGATTTACCTATAGGCTTATTATCAATTTAAAATTAATTGGAGCGATGAATAATATTTTGCTTTATATTAAAAGACTAACTAACTATTAAAATATTGATGTATGGAAGAATATTAATTAGTAAATAATTACTAATTCTTATTCATATTCATCATACTTATTACAGAAATTATTACTTAATATTATCCATATTATTATGTACCTATCATTCAACCATGAGTCAAAAGTAGATAGTTTTAAAAATATTCAATTTTTATCAATGAATAATAGCAATACTTGTAGTATTATTAGGAAAATACCATTTTAGCATAGATTAAACATACATGTATAATCTATGATTATAATATATTCAAAATAATTCCTTAAAAAATATTTTAACTTCAAGAATATTACACATAATATACCCTAGGCTATAACTATCACACAACTATCAAGTTTAGATATTTGTATTTTGAAAAATTATGAACAATTACTTGGTATAAAAATCATAGCTTACACCTAAACTATTTAATTATAATGTTTATTATTTATAATAGATGATTGTGAACAATGTAATATACCAATTGGCTATTATATTATACTATTAGTACCTACATATATATTTAGTTATACTTATAATACTATTAATATTTAAAATATACATAATTATGATCTCCTTCCTGACGAAAGTTTTGCTATTGGGAGTCTACAAAATACCTCATGTTTTACGTCCGAGTAATAATTGTAAACTTTTTATTTTTTTTCTATACTGATTTAATAATTAATTGTCTAACAACCTTGTATGTATATTTCTCTGTTTCGCATTTACTCATTGTACAAATAAGTACATATTGTAATTTTTTTTCAAAAATAAAAAAAAATATTATAATTCTGAATCATAATTTATGACCATTCCAAGAATATCATAAATGTCATCAAGTTTTGATTAAAGATGGGTGTTGAGCAACAGTGTGTACTTAACTGAAATATTTGAAGGACATGCTTGAAAATGTATATAATTATAAAATGGCCAACTAGTGAGATACTGAGATGGTAAAATTAATAAGGACAAATAACAAATAAGTTATAGAAATGCATTTAGGGGGCCCTTCATTTTTTTTTTTTTACAATTACGATATAATATAATGAATAACAAATGAGTATGATACCTATGATACCTATGACCAGAAAATAAATGTTTTTATGAAATAGAGAATTTTGACATGATCTTAAAATGTATTAATTAAAAGTAACGACCGGCTTTAATTATGTTAAGAAAAGTGAAAATTGATCAGAAAATTGCAATAAAAATATATCAAAATTGCAGGATAAATAATATGTTAAAATTGCAATGAAAAATACATTAAAGTTACATAATGTAATCATACAAATCATAAAAATCATAAAATGTATAATTGTTAATTAGGTACTTACTTAAATAACACAATGGACATTAACAAATTAAAAAATAATAAAAAAGTATTAAAAATTAAAATATATTATTTTTCTGAATTAAAATTTATAATTACATACCCCGTTATAACTTATAACCTACATAATAGCTAAATTGTGTTTTTGAAAATTGTATCGTCTGTTACTTAAAATATATTTATAAAATGAAAAATCACTTCAACGTCTACAAATATTATCAGTGCAAAATAATTTAAAAAATTTGGTGTTATATCTAAATAAATTAAGATTTCAATTTATTGCCATAACCTCATAGCGAGCCTCATAGTTAGTTTTATACTTTTATATCTTTCATTTTTCTTAAAGATTTATTTAAATTTATCTTCCACTGGGACCTGGAATATGTTGGCCAATAAATTATTATTGTCAATATATTAATAATATCACGACCGTATCTATAAAACGCTTCTATGCTATTAGGTAAAACCATAATCTGAAAATATAGATACTTCGTAGTTTTTTTTTATTGTTATATAAATTATTTAAGATATAATAATTTGTATATTTTATATTTTTATCACGTGAAGTAAACGAAAATTGAAAAATCGTAGAAAATTTCCAAAAATTGCAATATAATATTAAATAGGAAGACTGTAATTAGTCCAATTCCTGTACATATTTGATTTGATTTACCTGATATAAATATTTAGTTGCAATATCCATGAAGCCTAGAATTCTAGTCTTCATGGCCATATCTATTAAATCCGGTCTTTAATAAAATTATAAGCTACTAAGGTACGATAAATACTATTGCAGATAATAGCTATACATAGCATTTATATACCTACCTATATATATATATGTACATATAAGACAAAAGTAGGTATATAAATATATTTTGTAATTTGTACTAAGGGCTAAGCCCGTATATTTCATAATAAATAAATAACTATGGATATTGCACTATTGAGTAGGTACTATTATTAAGTTAGTAGGTCAGGTCCTTACCGGTTTTTTTAAACATTTTAGTGCGGATTACCGGGAAACTATAAGTGACTGATGCAAGTCCTAGTGGATTTGTATGATTTCGGAGATATAAGTTGATTGTTCTAATAGGTGTGCTGCTTTAGCTACGCCATGGGCTGGAGAAATGGCAAGATCATTGTATATTTGTATCTGTATCATAAAGTAAAGAATACAAGTAGTAATGATCTGTATATAGAGATCTGCGATTTGATATGTAAAAATTGTTTGCACTTATGCAGCAGCGATCTTTGATATTGTCAATCTATGCGCCGCAACAGGACACAAATAAGTGCTGGTAATCGCGGAAATAGTGAAAATACTGCTCCTGTAGGGAGACGAGGACTCAAGGGCGTCCATTGGTTTGGGGATAGAGAGGGACATGTCCCCCAGGGGCGCCATTTAAGTGTTTTTTAATAGAGTGCAAACTTTGCAAACAAAGAGGCTAAGTACAAAAAATATACTTAACATATAAATTAAATATAAAATATTCAAATTTTAGGTATTTACCTTATGATTCAGCTTTTATTGTTTTTACATTTTTGAACGCATAACTATAAGTTTGATTAATAATTACCTATATTTGAAATCAGGATATCATACTAAAAGGAAAATACACGAAAATCAAAGATTGGCAAACAGAAGGTCAAGGCAGCAAAGGCCATAGTATCAACGACGCCCAGGCCAATTGTAGATAAAAAAATAAGCCCCTGGCTTTTCCATGTTTATATAATGCATTTTTACATTTATAGTTTATACATAATATATTATAAATTATAATTGATGGGGGGACGGAGTGGCCAAGAGTATACTACAATATGGGCCGAGGGGACTAAGGCGTCGGTTCAAACCTCGGTCTGGGCGGCACTTCTCTTCGGGCACTCAAGGTGTCTCGGAGAAAAAGGCCGGAATTGGGACCCGGGCATGGCAGATACCCACAGTTGCCTACATGAAAATTCTGCCCAACTATAACACACGTGTTTCCAAAAACCAACAGTACCCTCCAACACAGTGAAAATCCACCAAATGACGTGTCGCCGAGGGTTCATTTAAAAAAAATAAATAATAATATATATATTTGATACATTGTATCGAGCATAGAATAAAGAAGATTGATAATCATACTTTCCATTACTATAACATCTTGTTCTGTAATCACAGAAATTAATTTTATCCATTGATAATAGGTATTATATTAATATAAGAAAAATATGTTGATGATTTTATCCAGGGTTCAAAAAACTCTCGAAAAAACCTGACCTGATTGGGTTTAAATGGGTTTTAATAATGCCGTTTCCTGGAATTTTTTTACTAGGGCAGTTCCCTACAAATCTAACCTACCTATAAAAATCTATAGCAAGATGCTGTTTTAAAGTAAAATAAAATGTACCTATTTTATCATAAAAGTTATGATTGTTATTAATTTTTATTTTATTAATTTTTATTTTTTTTTTGTTACTAAAAAGTAATAAAAATGCAGTTTAAAGTTTGTTGGGTTTTTTACTGGGTTTTTTTTAACTGGGTTTTATGGGTTGGACCCAGTACTTTAAACCTTGATTTTATCACGTAGTTCAATGAGTTGAACTACAGATATATCATCATAGATATTAAACTTAATAATAACTAATAACTATAAATAGTATAATATAATTTACTATCTAGATCATATACCTATGCTTAGTATACATAGACAGAAATAATATAAGATTTAAATTTAGTTCAAAATGTTGTTGACAAATTTTCAAAAAATAAACGTAACTTATAATTCGTGTCTTAATATTTAATTATCTTTAGTTATATAATCTTTTTTACTTTTTTAAGTCTTAATTAAATAAAGTGCATGATTTATGTTAGGTACCTATATATTTTACATTTTATTAGAAACTGAGCTATCTACTCTTATTTATTTAATAAGTAATTTTAATATAGTCATGATAAATTGATAAATACTATTGTACAAATACACTCAGTGCAGAGTTGGTGTATATTTTACTTTTGAAAAAAAATAACAAAAAAAATTGAATTTTTTGTTTTATATTATTTTTTCTGTTCAATACAATGTTTATGTTTTGAACAAAACAAATTGCGTAAGATTTAAACAGTATTAAAGGTTTACAAGAACATTATTCAGGTTTAACAAAAAATCGCTTGGTAGCTAAACTGCAATTGTTCCAAAAAAAATTCATGATTTTTTTACGCAAAATCTCGGTTTTTGATAAAATCCGATGTTTTAAGGAAAACAAATTGTTTGAGTTTTAACCTGAATAATGTTCTTGGGAACAATTGCAGTTTAGCTACCAAGCGATTTTTTCAAATTTTTTTTTCCAACGTTTTAAAAATGATGGTACCAAAAAAAAATTGCGCAAACTCTTAGTTTTTGATTTATAACTGTTAGAAATTCAAAAATTTTTTTTTTGTGGTAGACGTATGTATTTTGACTATTTAAAAACGATGGTGCAATCAGAATTTGTCTGCAGTGATTACGAGTGTATTGGCACTCGTCGCTACGCTCCTCGGCGCCGTCGCTCCGCTCCGCAAATCGAAAATATCCCCCGATTTGTTGTGTAAAACCACCTCAGGTGAACCTCGGAATTAAACAAAGTTGTTTTTTGTCAATTACAGAAGCATTTATATTTACGATATTTGGATTCAGAGAAATTATATATCTGAAAAATATAACCGGAGCCGGTAAGGCGCAACTACCTCACTTGGCGACTTGGTTCAACAAAAAAAATTTTTCTCTAAAAATCCAAAATTTTTAACTTAAAACCGCTACCTATAACTTTCAAACTAAATTCGATCGACAAATTCTGATTGCACCATCGTTTTTAAATAGCCAAAATACATAAGTCTACCACAAAAAAAATTCAAAAAACAGTTATAACTCAAAAACTAAGAGTTTGCGCAATTTTTTTTTGGCACCATCATTTTTAAAACGTTGATTTACCTAGGTTTCGAAAAAAAAAATTGAAAAAATCTCGTGGTAGCTAAACTGCAATTATACCAAATTGAAAATCGAAGCATTATTATTATTGCACATAATATATGGCTCGGTCGTGTACGAACTACCAGCTACTAAAGCTGTTTGTTTCATATTGTCATTGCAGTGCTGAGGTGACGCGGCGTGCAGATATATACAATAATTGTCAATTTTCTACCCACCTACCACCCACCCAAGCCATGACGATGGCGAGGAGCACACCGTACTGAGCATAATATTATAATAATATCAACACCGCCGCGCTGGCGTTTGCGGAAAACGCGATTACGGGCTTACAGCAGCTGCGTGGGTGGTCGGGTTGGCGAGGAAGGAAGTGTGCGTATACTCTATTTCACGAGAGAACGGTACCGTTTCGCGCATGTAAAATGATTCGATTGGTGCGTGAACGACCACGTGATCACGCTTACCACTGATAGTTGGTGGGGGATGCGCGGCGGCGGACCCGTTTTGGTCGGCCGCCGCTACCTTTCTCTCGTGAAAAAGAGTATAGATAGCACAGCCCGTCGGAGTGTCATCACACTGGGTGGGGGGGGAGTTATAATTTATTATATTATTATTCAATATCATTTAATATGTTACTTATTTACCACCTATTTTACATTTTATCATTTTGAAATTTACTATTTTACTCACTTGCGCAAAATTTTCTCCTCGGGCGAGATGTTTTTCACGTACGTCCGCTTGGCCGGCGGCGATCTCGGAGACATCGACGATCCGCCGCCGACGTCTCCGGCGGCCGTATGCTGTCGCTGTTCCACGTAGCACATGGCCGAGTTGAATATCAACATTTGACTGGGCCGGATAATGTTGGGCGCCATGAGATCTGTTTTCGTCTTCGGGAGTAAAAAAGCGATCTTGCCACGGCCAGCCGCGGTCGATGATGTAGGCACCGTATTGCGCGGCGGTGATCGGAAAAAATAAAATTCGAATAACACTCTCTGCTCGCGTTATTAAACGACTACGTTTAGATTATCGGTTATGGATCGCCAAATTATTTTGTATTCTTACGGATCGTTTTTTGTTACGAATAAAATTGAGTTTTAAATTTAGTTTTTGCGTGCGACGGTGGCGGATCCGCGCGCCTAGTGGATGCCGAATTGTGACTGAGCTGTCTGAACTAGCGAAGCGAGTGGTGACCGGAGGAGGCGGCGGCGGCGGTAGTTTTTTGTCGACATGGCAAGGCAATGTGGCAAACATCAAATTTCTCGTATCGATGTTTATCCAACATCGATAGTCGCCGCCCATGATGCAATAACATCGAATTATTAAGTATTGTTCTGTGGTATGACGCATGGGCATGGTATATTGGTATAATCGGAGAATGCGGAGATACTTACTACAATACTACTTGGTACTGAAAGTAATCGAATAACTATTAGTCATAACACTCATAACTAATATAATACAGACGAGAAATTGAATAATTCAAATTTTAAATGGGAAATACTCAAATACCTATAGGTTAGGTACCTAATATATACATCCCGATACCACAGAATAGATGAAATTTCATCTATTATTCTGTGCCGATACACAAGTTATATTATATCATTTATATCATACAACAAATAACGATACTGATTACCAGCACACATGAAATAGGTATTTGACTTTTTTAATAAATTGTGTTGATTCTCAATAATTTTTATTTTTCAACCATAATTCTATAACCCACTACCACTGGCATTTGCATTAAACTATTAAAGCATTGTACCAACTACCTACCGGCTACCTGTCTACCTACGACCTACCTACCCTAAACAGAATAATATTGTATTCATTAAACATAATAAAGATCTTAAAACTTTGATGAAACTTATTAATGAATTTATAATTTTCGAAATTTTTCAACAAGAAATCAAATATCAATGTTTATTTTAATTTTAATGTTTAAAGAGTCTAAGTGACTAAGCGTATATAATTATTATTATAAATAGGTAATACATAATATTATAAAAATCATAATAAAAATAATAATATCCCAAGAAATATAACTGGTTCTGAATATTCCTCGACCCTTATATGTTTTTGATTAGTACCAAAAAAATAAATATATATAAATATATACTACTAGATATATATCATATAATATACTATATAGTATATATCTGTGATTAGTACATATTATCATTGATTTAATTGATTATATAAATACTATAGTATTATACATTTATACTATTAAAATATTATAATATTTATAATCAATGGTCTTGTCTAATAATAAATTGTTAAATTAATAATTATTATCATTTTCTATTATTAGGTACCTACTATATTATATATTTTATAAAACTGTATTAGTATTGATTTTAGAATAATCATGTAACATTTGTTTTGAAAGATGATTTTTTTTTAGAGTGAAAACCTGTTTAGTTATTATTTATAATCAGAAAATTGGAGAAAAAAATATATTTATCGTTGACCATTGTAATCCATCATCATGGTCCAATGAACAAAAATGAACATATAGTTATAATTATACTTAATTCTGTGCCCCCTAAAATGTTTAAAATGTTACACAAGGTTGTTGTTATTTTAACATTTAACGTGAAACATGAATTAAATATTACCTAATATTCATCTCATACTGACCTCGGATCCCAGAAAAAAAATATAATTTTTGTTCTATATATAAATAAAATATAATTTTTGTTCTATATAATATAAATAAAATAGAATTATATCGAATTGCTGATCTGTAAAATTATTTTTCATATTGCCTACATGCTCTTATCTTCCACCTGTCTCATTATTCAATTATTTTTATTATTCAAATTATTGTATAATAAAGATCAGACCTATTGGTAATAAGCACGGACTAAGTTATATCTTAGTCCGTGCCGCTCCGTGGTAATAAGTACCTAATAATTATTATTAATAACCAATAATATAATGATATACCTAATTTTTATTATCATCATTCATCAGCTATTTCCTTAATCTGAACTCCTATAAGTACTTATAAATTAATAATTATAAGTTTAACTTATACAGTTATACATCCGACATCGTCTTCTTATGCTGTTTCCTTCCTATTGGCTATTATTTATTAATTATTCGCTAATCGCTATTCTATTATAAATCATCGTAATTGTAATACCAATCACTTATTAGTTATTACCACGGTTATCTACTCAGGTTGGCGGACGCCGGTTTACTGGTGGTCTATGCGGCGTCGTCTAGAACTAAAAGCGCTAGTAGTCAGGAGGCCTCTTAAATACATTATTAATTATGACACCCGATCCGCGTTCGTAGTTAAAATTATATTTTATCATGGCTTTTTAGTTATTGAATTATACCTATTATTATATAATTATATCTTAGTCCGTGGTTATGGAATATGGATTATAAATAGTGATATTTTTGTTAAATAAGCATTGATTCATTTTCGTGAAAATCATATGTATTATTATGTTACTACACATTTTTCTAATGTAGTATTTTATATACTTAAAATAGTTATATCTTAATTACAGATTTTAAAGCAATAAAATACTTAAGAAAACTACTTAAAACTAAGCAATAAAGCTAACAAATTGGATTTATTTTTATAACTTAAAATTAATAATCATTAAATATTGAAAAAGATATAGCTTAACCTACATTTTGAAACAATATTAAACACATTTGTTAAAACTTGCTCTTTTAAAGCCATGTTCTTCCGTCATTTTTATCAAATGTCTTTAATATCATTTCAGGATCTATTCCAATATTTATAAATTTGTTAAACAGCCATAAGTTAAGTGGCTCTGACATATTATGTTTTAATTAATCTCATAGTCATTGATACTTCCATATCTAATTTTTAGTAAATTAGGAACACTTCTTAATTGAAATTCTATGTTTAGTTTTTTATAATTAAAATTTAACATAGTATTTATACTTTTATTATGCAGGGTGTCCCACAGATATCTGACAAATAAAATAACTTTTGTTCTAATTAATATTTTTAAAAAATTTCTTTTAAATATAATTCATAGACAATTGCGCTACATTTTTAGAATACATTTTTTATTTTTTATTTTTTAATACTGATAGTAAAAAACTTAAAAATTGATAAAAAAAATTTCCAGAATATTCAAAATAGCCAATTTGTAAATCTGATTTTCAGAAAAATTTACACCGTAAAAACATTTATTTAAGTCAAGTGGGTGATTTTTTAAAATTTTTTTAAATATCAATATTTTCGTTAAGTAACTTACGCGGGCACCTATGGGTATCATTTTATTGTTATTTCATTTGTCAAATCTCCTTGGGATACCTTTTATATTATATTATAAAAATAAATATAAAATATTTGGCGGGCGTTTGAAATTTTTGGGAGGGCTTAGCTCCTAGAGCCCCACTTATTTGCGCATATAGTCTTAAGGTTTAAAAAGTATAAAATTTAAAAAAAATTGAATCCATCATAGACATTGCATTCTGAAAAAAATAGAACATAAACATTTAAAAAATAATATATGATTGAATATTGAATTCCAACATTTAACCTAATTAATATGTTGAAGAAATAGCAAATACTTAGGTAAACAAATTACAAAATATGGTAACGGTACCTACCGAGTACGGCGATATTATATGTTCGTTTATTGCTGATATCTCATCAACCATTTATCCTAGAAATTCGTTTTGAATACATTATACGAAGTGCTTATCATTATCTATAAAAAAAGGTATAATATGATAGTTCTTCGAGAATGTAACCATTATTTATTACTATAATACTATAAATGGGCATATGTTCTACATGTAAAAGTAGGCCTCCTAACTGCTAGCGCTTTTAGTTCAGTTCGACGCCGCATAGACCGATATAATACACGTATGGTATAGAAGCGTCCGCCAACCTGAGTAGATAACCGTGGTTATTACTTATATCGTAATATTTTACGCTATTATTGTAGACCCTTTTTGCTTTAAATTATATAGCACATTAGCACTATAGCAGTATTATAGTGATTAGGGGATATTTTTTTCCGCGATTCTATTTTAGCATGGTAAAATGGTAAATCATCGGGACTGTAAAAATTACGGCAAGATAACAAAATATTTAAAAAACAATCACTACGCGATGGTTTTCATTACTGATTTGCTATCAAGCCTAGGCGCAATTTCAACTTTTAGCTTGGGGGGGCTGAATATATTGAAGGCAAGCAGACCATTGCAGTATAGCATATTAAAATTGTATGTCCTAGGTTTTTTTTTTGGGGGGGGGGGCTACGGCTAAGTTGGGGGGTAGCACATAAAGCCCCCCCCACCGATTTGCGTCTATGCTATCAAGTAGTCGCTCGTTGCTTGAGCAAACATTGAAAAATGATCGCTTATAATATAATATATAACTATGTATATAAGTCAATTGTCATTAATAATGAAATAATTAATAATAATTAATATCAAATAAGAGCATAAATGCATATTTTATAGTGCATATTTCCTAGTCATTATAATAAAATTGAGTTGGTCCTACTTCCGCCGCACAATGGTATTGCTAATTGCTATCGCGCCGACCATCGTTATTGCCAATTCAAAGAATAGCTCCGAACGTATGCTCATTGATTCGTGCGTATACGGTATACACGCACATGCATGCATATAATATTATAAAGATATTTGAGTACACTGTATAATTCAAAAACGATAATTGAGTTTTTATTAGGAACTTTAGCGGTAGCCCCCTCGGCCCACCACTGAATCCAACGACCCTGAACAGTTTAGTAACTAAATTTATTATTTAATAGATAATAATTTATAATTGTGAAACTTAGTGAAATCAATAAAAACTTGGAGTAGGTAAGTACCTACATAAGTCATAACTCTAATA